GAGGGAGAAAGGAAGCTAAGAGAAAGAACAGCTGTGGGCGGCACAAAGCCTCTCCCTCCCAAAAGAACAGGACGGGGACAAACACAGAGAGGAAACACGTCGATTTTGCTGTTGTTATGACTGACACTGTTAAGGATCTGGTGAAGAACTCTACCTTAGTATGGTGAGAAGTGCGTAGAAGAGAGAAGCAGTAAGGGTTTGCAGCAACGGTGGAGGCTGCAGCGCCCCCTGTCTGGGCTCTAGTTAAGCAGATGTTCCTCTCCTACATTCCCACACTGAACCCCACCCAGCTCTATTCCTGTACTTACGGCGCGCTGTTAGAATTATATACTTGTGGAAGAAATGTCATGTCTTACTCATCTTTTTAATTCCCCGTAAAAGCACTGAGGCTGGTCTTCTAGGTGAGTTCTCCCTCCCCCCTTTGTGTGTGTAAGGGGGCTGTGGGGAGAGGCAGTCCTGGAAAATCAAAGTGACATTTGGACTGTGCTAAATCTCTCCAAGACCTCTACGATCACATACCTAACCTGGGGTCCATCCTCCTCTACTCACCTGGACAACTGTCTGAGGTCACAATAAGAAAACCAGCCACAGTCACAGTATTTCCATAAATATCCATACTCTTCTGAAATGCTTCTATATAAAAACTTTTATTAGAAGATATAAAGGATCTGATAAGTGAAGTTTAGAGCTCAAAACAAGTTTGATGTGAACCATGTATCTTAGTAAAAGTGACTGGGGAAAAAGTCCTGAAACAGACACGCAAGCTCCAAGTGCAGGATACAGTTTGAAACACACTCACCCAAAATCTAGAAATTTCACCATTTTTAAAATCCAAACATAGACTAGGAGGCACAAAATATGACTTGCATGCTTAAAAATTCAATTTGAAATCAAAGTCATGCATATGTTTAGTGTTATAAGGCATTTCTGAATTTTACTGAAATCTAATAAGCTTTGTCCGGTATTACTTTGCACAGCCATTTAGTGCCAACGTGCCACAGAGCAGTAACGCGTCACTAATTACCTGCACACTTCTTACAGATGACAACACAGAGATTGATGGAGGCCCAGTCAGGGTCTGGGGCTTTGCAGTCTGCACAGCTCCTGTTGGACTCATTGAACCAGATCTTCTCGGCCACCTCATAATCAGAGAGAGTTTCTGCGATCGACTGCTGCACAGCTTCAATCCAGTCCTGTTTCTCTTTTTCAGTCTCTGCTGTAAAGCTGAAACAATTAACATTTCTGCATTATTGATCTCCCCTATAAAGGCCAATTAAGTAGTATGGTCAGTTTGCATATTCATTTCCCTCACAAATTAAAACAGCAGTTGAAAAATATACCTTCTAGGGAGTAGTAGATTACCTCTTCCTGTTACGAATCATCCACTTCAAGAAATTTTTTCTTTTCCCTTTAATTTTCCCCATTCCTTATGGCTTTGTATATATCATGAACAAAAATTAATGTATACATTTTTATAGCCAAGATATAACAATTGCCTTGTCAGGTCAAAAGTCTAAAATAGGAGGCCATGTTTGCTAAGCAATGCTCATTTGTAATAGTAAGAGATTGGCTGAGTTTCAGGACTATTGAAATATTCTATGCCATGATAGTCTGAAACTACATTATCAAAAATTACCACCAGAAACTGTGATTTTTGTTTTCAGACTTAAAAAAAAATAGGTTCTTTTTTATAATTAGAAGAATGTCCAGATGGTTTTAAGAAACTGAGAAATTTAAAATAAAAAAGCTTGAGGTAGTTACTATTCTAAGATGTCTAAAACATTTTTAGCCATGTTCTGATTTATTCTAAATCTTAGTGTTTGTTTTGTGTTTTGAGTTAAAAGAAAAAAACCCATTAAATTGCAGTCCACCCGGCTCGGCGCCTATAGCTCAACCGGCTAAGGCGCCGGCCACCTACACCTAAGGTGGCAGGTTCGAATCCCCAGC